CTTTCTGCTCATAATAATGACTTTATTCTCATAATAATATGACTTTATTCTCATAATAATATGACTTTATTCCCATAATAATAATAACTTTATTCCCATAATAATATGACTTTATTCTCATAATAATATGACTTTATTCTCATAATAATATGACTTTATTCCCATAACAATATGACTTTTTTTTCATAATAATATGACTTTATTCTCAGAATAATGACTTTATTCCCATAATAATATGACTTTATTCTCATAATAATATGACTTTATTCCCATAATAATATGACTTTATTCCCATAATAATATGACTTTATTCTCATAATAATATGACTTTATTCCCATAATAATATGACTTTATTCCCATAATAATACGACTTTCTGCTCATAATAATATGACTTTATTCCCATAATAATATGACTTTCTGCTCATAATAATATGACTTTATTCTCATAATAATGACTTTATTCCCATAATAATATGACTTTATTCCCATAATAATATGACTTTATTCTCATAATAATACGACTTTCTGCTCATAATAATATGACTTTATTCTCATAATAATGACTTTATTCCCATAATAATATGACTTTATTCCCATAATAATGACTTTATTCCCATAATAATATGACTTTATTCTCATAATAATATGACTTTATTCCCATAATAATATGACTTTATTCTCATAATAATATGACTTTATTCCCATAATAATATGACTTTATTCCCATAATAATATGACTTTATTCTCATAATAATATGACTTTATTCCCGTAATAATATTAATAATAAAATCTCATTGTGTGGCCCTAATACTCGGTCATAAATTTCCTGTTACTTTATTATTTTTTAATTGTTGCAGCTATGAGCACCTTACTCACCTGCTGACCAAGGTGATGGACGAGCGTCCTGATGATGCCTTGGATGTGTTTGAGGAGATGAGTCGTGCTGTGAAGCAGGATGCATTTAGAGATGTGCAGACCACCCTGAGAGACGTCTCAGACCCTCCAGATGTTGAGCAGCTGGCTGAGAAGCAGCTACAGCTCTTTAATCCAACAGGTGTCTCAGTCCAGGAGAAAGAACTGGTTTGTTTTCTGATCCTTGACAGCACAATGTTGCAGAGGTGATTCCTGACTCATCTGGTTTGTGGGTCTGTGTTTGTTGGGGTCCAGGTGGGATCAGTTCTTCCTAACCTGAACGAGGTGGCCTTCTTCCTGGAGCAGGCCGGAGTGGGACTGGGTCAGGAGGAAACCCAGAAGATTTATCTAGCACTCAAGCACCTTGTTGAGTCGAAGTCACTGACGCACTGCCGACTGTGGGGGAAGATTCTGGGGAGAGAGAGAAACTACATCATTGTTGAAGCTGAGTACAGAGATGACGAGGAGGAGGAGGAGGAGCAGGAGGAGCAGGGAGCTGAAGGAGCTGAGGAGGAGGAGGAGGTGAGGGAGAGTGTCTGCACATCATGTTTCTGCT